CTTTCACGTGGAAATTCAATTTCTCATCCCTAGAACTAGAAGCAAGAACTCTTATTTCCCCAGAAGGCGAAGGCATGGTCCTTATAACCTAACAAACAAAATCGAGCTAAGCCCAAAGCACCTCATTGGCCTTTTTTCTTTCTTGAACCATGAAATGTAATAAATAAAGTTTGCCAAGAAAGAGAAGACATTAGACATTAAATAGAGCTCATACCCGGAAAAGGCTGAAGATAGTGAGCAGGGAAAGCAGCGTTGATGAAAGTGGGAAAGGTAGTTGGTCAGGGAAAGTTAGTATGTAACTCTAGAAAGTAGCTTCGCATAGGCAAGACAAGCCAGGTCCTGTCGAACCAGCCTTATATAATTATCCTTATCCTGGCTTTTGTGAATCAGTTGTAGTAGCGTCCTTACTTGATCCCATCTTTGTTAGAAGAGAGTCTGCTCTGGAACCCGTTTTCGAAGCTGGTAGAGAGTAGAGAATAGAATAGGCTCTGATGCCTGATAGTGAAGAAGGAAGGGATAAGTTTCAGACCGTAAATCGGATATATGAAACCAAGCCTTTGATCTAATAGTCGTCTATATCTATAAATAAAAAAGTAGGACTGAGTTGGTAGCTGAACCAGAAAAGACTCATGCTTTTGCTAGCTGGCTCAGTCAGAGTCTTCCTCACCTGGGCTTAAGCTTAGTACTTGCTTACCGATAGGATGGAGTGGGGATGCAGTCGGACTAGAAGAGAAGATCTCTCTCTCTATTTGCTACTCTTGAGAAAAGGGAAATAGACAAACAGCCTGGTAACACGTACTTGGATTACATTTCTTAATAGCTATAGCTTTCCCCCATCATTACCTTTAGAAAGGTAGGATCCGTGGGTGAAGGTAATATGGAATATTCTTATTCTTGGCGTCAGAGAAAGCAGAACCAGACTGCCAACGATCTGACGATAGAGAGTCTTCACCTTGTAGACTCACTTTCAGCTAATGGGAATCTTTGTCTTTCCCTCTGTCTTTCAATTTCTATCACATGGCTTGAGGAGGATCGAATTCAATTTGTTGTGCATATAGCCCATGAATCAATAGAAGAAGTGGATGAACCAGAATCGGAGAGATACATATTAAATAAAGCACTTTTAGTCAACCAATCGGAAAGAGAAGAGGGGAGACTTGCTACCATAGCTGAAATGGTTGAAGGTTTTAAGGATCTGCAGGCTCCTTTCTTTCCTACCCTATCTTCGTGACGCGGTCGTCCCTTAGTCTGTTCAAGTAAGCTACTTCACAAAGGCTTAGATGCATAGAATCTGCTTTCTTCAGTGTCACCTCCCCTTTTTTACGCACTTCTTTTGATACCTATAGCGGTGAAAGTTCGCTCATCAAAGAGCGCTATTCAGCCTTGTCAGGTGAAAAAAAGAGAATTTTAAACCGTCCCATTTTCTTAGAACGTCAGCTCTATTGTCACAATAAATGACAGGTGACTGGGCAGGGCAGATGTGGAAGAAAGAGCTTAGGGCTTTCTTTAACTATTACATTAGTAAGGAAAGTAACTGATTGACCTAAGGGGAGGAACGGCAATTGGTATTGAATTTGCTGTGAAATCATTCGCTGCTGGCAATGCAATAGAAGTAGAAGCTATTGATGCCCCTTGCGACTAAGCTAAGCAGTGCTATTGCTTTCATTGGTTTTTCTATTCCTTCTGTGGGATTTGGCCTGAAAACAAGCCTATGAATGCCATCAACCCAGTCTTGCTATCAGTTCTAAGCTTTTTCTTCCGAAAGGAGACCAGTGCCCTACCCGCTTCCTCCGTCAAAGGCCTTTTGAGATGTCTTAACATCCTATTGGGATACCTTGAATACGATTTATAAGGCGCAAACAGAACTGCTCCCTCCTTGTCCGAAAGGTGGTCAATCAGGCTTCGCGCCTTCCCTTACTAAGCTTTCAGTCCTAGAGTAGGAGATAGACTGAGTTAGGCTCCCTAATAAATAGATAAAGGGCTACTAATGTAGGCTGTCATTTTCTTCCCTCGGAGTTCTTTCTTTCTCGCCTGTGCTTTTACTTTCTTTCTTGTACCCGGTACACTTCACACAAACCCAATCCCTTTGGACTAGGAGCTAACCCTGAATCAAAAAAAATCCACTGGCATATGGGCGCATACCTTGAATCTAGCCCGAACTGAGGACCTTGGAGCCCGAGCGGGATGGTCCCGTCTTCGCTATTCTATCGGAATTGGAACCAGAACCCTGTTCTAAAATCTGGGGATTGGCTCACGTTGGAGGATGTGAACCGATCGTACGGAGCTGCCTATGCCCTTATGAATGCCGGATCGTGAGGATCTTACTTTCTCGAAGCCAAACCTGGAGCTCAATAGACTCTCTCCCTACCTGAGTCAACTTGTTTACTAGCCGCCCTGCCAGCTTGCAACAGCCGATTAGGAGTACTTGCTATAATAATATTCAAATACAGTCTCAGTCAATCTTTAAGTCTATCCCCAAAAAGTCAGTCTTCCTTCTAAGTACCTAAAGCTCTTTCCGGTGGGTCCCTTATCCCCGTTGAATATTCCTTCCTTCCGATAAAGCTGGTGATCTCCATATTCATTGTCCGTATGAGTTTCTATAAGTTAGTTAGGTCTACTCTTTCCTGTTCCATCCTGTATGGCACTTACAAAGTCTTTGACCTCATTAAAGGTGGACTTGGTTACGGGGCAATCTTCTTTTTTAGACCCCGCTTCTTGTTCCATTTGTTTTATTAACTTGAATTCGTCCACCTTGCTTTGTATATTATAGTCCTCCTCAATGGCTTTCCGCACTTCGGAGACCTCTTGTCCATCTCCGAGAGCGCCCTTTCTTCTTTCTAAATTCTCC